TTGTGATCTACGAGACAATAAGACGAACGCCGAAGTGTCTTCTGAGCCCAGAGTTTCAAATATCTATTCAATCCAAAAGAGTGGGAATATGAAGACATTGTTCTTACTTTCGAGGAGGAGAAGACGCAGGTTTTTGGATGAACTGACCAAAGTCATCGCGTCTTTTGCACCTAGAAGGTTGTACAGTGGTGTTAATTCCCAACTGGTGGCTGGTATACCATCGATCAGGATCATAAAGTTTCAGCTGCGGTTTCAGTTACAGTTGATAGAACAAGTGGGCGAAAGGGTACAGTCAAGATAAGGAAGGGGACAGCTGCAGATGTGCCCTCAAACGGTGTATGGCAGCGTCATGCCATCATTGTACTAACATACTCCGGCTTTTGGACAGCCCCGTAACGGGCGTCATGATTGAGGTGGCCGAGCCGGGATGTGCAGTTCTGTGAGCTATGCTATTATAGTGCAAGAGATCCAGAGCGAACCGGCACAAGCAGGCAGAAAGGTGATATAGTTGAGGGAACCAAACACATAAGTACGGACGGGAGTAGGACATCCGAGATGATGGACTAATTTATCTGAGTTTGACGATAATGCATATAATTGCCGAATCCTGCCACCAAATCATCGATGTAGCTACGGCCTTTTAATTATCGCTAATGAGGCTAATTGAGCAACTGGTGAGCTTACCCTTGTAAACTCCAGTTTCAACGTAGACACCGGTCGGGAATTATGGACAACGGGATTTATTGAACATTTGGTGTGTTGGCCACTACAGCTTCGTTTAATTGCGTTGTATACACGAGTGAATGAGTCGTAACTGATTATGTTTTTCCTTTCAACAATCCCATCAAGTTTGAGCGGCCTTCTGAAACTGAGAACTGGATTGACTACACAATAGGTCTCCACCGATGCAACCAATAAGTAAAAAATGATTCGTCAAAGGTGGTTCTGTATTTTTCAGACATGAACTTGGCAGGTGGATGACATGCATGGATATGAAGAACCGCCGTTGGCCTTTGGACTAGTCTATTATTTATTGTTGGGCTTATAGTCAGCTGCAAGCACGGGTTCGGGCTCAGTAATTACTATAAACAGCCAATGTAGGCGACATTGAACACAGTTATGGGTATGACGGACTGTCGTAGACCGTTGGATTAAATGAACCTTCATAATCAGCCTCGCACACAGACGCGAACCTAACAGTTACTATAAGCAGTTGAGGCGAGTGAAACTGGCCACCGTTCCCATGATGACAACTTTATGACTTGTTCCACCTACGGAGAGTCATATTCCTAATGAAAATGATATAATTGTGTCGGTAATTCACCTACAACTACCTGCTGACGTGCACTGCTTTCAAGCTAGTTATGTTCATCCGGGAAAGGGAATCACCCACAGAGATAGGCCTCACATCTCCACCGCATATTTCCTGCTGTCGTCTGACAATGTCGTATTTAGTGGGAGATGAGCTCCGTAGAAAGGTTGCTAAACAAAATCATCTCATTTGTTAAATGGAGGAGTATGAAGCAATCAAACGTCAGTGACCGATTTCCCCGGGTGGAATTTGAATATTATATTCTGTAGGTAATATTTCACTATTAAAGAACACCAAAGAACACCAAAATATACTAAAGTGCGATTTCGTGTTTACCTCCCGTAAACCGTAACAAAATGTGAATCGGTGATGGCCCGTAGCCTTGAAATTTCGCGCAATCAAACAAAATGCTGAAAGAATAATATCAGCGGAGGGTGCAAACGGATTAGACTACTTCCCCGTAGAAGTTACAACTAAAAAAACCTACATTTCGGCAAAAATAATTTGGATGTGCTTTTCGTGAGTGGCCCGAATGACAAGACTAGTGTTAGCTGGAATATTAGCCGCGGGAGGTCCTTCACTCCTAAGACCAAGTGCAACCAACTCGGCATTTGTCCAGCCTGTCACTGCTTCTAAATGCTTAAAAACACAGAGGACATCGGCAGAAAATTTGAGCAGGATGCCTTAAAACTCGCATCCGTGCTTCAGGGATACAGCGTTCATCAACCTTGATAAAGTAAAGGGATTGCCGGGCATCACCTGCTCAATAATTTGACATTTGCATGGATTTTGAAGGTTCACGTGCAAAAGAAATGTCGTGAATATATTGGGATTGTTCTTCTTGATTGTCGCTCTTCTTGACAGATTCAGCTAAATAGAATGTTGCAGAAAACTTTTGGGAAAGCCGCGACGAGTTTTGCTTCTCTTGAGACCAAACAGGCACCCAGGCCTCAAGTTGAGTTCAAAATTATGTTGCACTCGAACAAAAGTTTGTCACTGACAGAGCTCGTTAGTCCGCAAACCAATTAAAACTATTGAGAATTCGAATGAACTCTCTTTGATGATATTTTAAAACCGGACTTACCTCGTTTAGCACTATATTCGAGATAATGCGGTAAATTTTCTTCCTCCATCTGCAGCATTTTATAATGGTAACAGGTTTATTTCTCATCTTGCAGAAACATGCTGACTGGAGCATGACCGGACATAGGAGCTTCTTTTGGTGGTGTCACGTTATTTATTGTTGATAGGCAATGGGTTAGGTAATGATTATCGGTCAAATAACTGACGATTGATCGGTCCACTAATGTTTGCTCGTGTGGTGGAGGCGAGCTGACGAGGGACGTTACGCATGCAGATTTACCTCCCGTAAACCGTAACAAAATGTGAATCGGTGATGGCCCGTAGCCTTGAAATTTCGCGCAATCAAACAAAATGCTGAAAGAATAATATCAGCGGAGGGTGCAAACGGATTAGACTACTTCCCCGTAGAAGTTACAACTAAAAAAACCTACATTTCGGCAAAAATAATTTGGATGTGCTTTTCGTGAGTGGCCCGAATGACAAGACTAGTGTTAGCTGGAATATTAGCCGCGGGAGGTCCTTCACTCCTAAGACCAAGTGCAACCAACTCGGCATTTGTCCAGCCTGTCACTGCTTCTAAATGCTTAAAAACACAGAGGACATCGGCAGAAAATTTGAGCAGGATGCCTTAAAACTCGCATCCGTGCTTCAGGGATACAGCGTTCATCAACCTTGATAAAGTAAAGGGATTGCCGGGCATCACCTGCTCAATAATTTGACATTTGCATGGATTTTGAAGGTTCACGTGCAAAAGAAATGTCGTGAATATATTGGGATTGTTCTTCTTGATTGTCGCTCTTCTTGACAGATTCAGCTAAATAGAATGTTTCAGAAAACGTTTGGGAAAGCCGCGACGAGTTTTGCTTCTCTTGAGACCAAACAGGCACCCAGGCCTCAAGTTGAGTTCAAAATTATGTTGCACTCGAACAAAAGTTTGTCACTGACAGAGCTCGTTAGTCCGCAAACCAATTAACTATTGAGAATTCGAATGAACAACATTTGATGATATTTTAAAACCGGACTTACCTCGTTTAGCACTATATTCGAGATAATGCGGTAAATTTTCTTCCTCCATCTGCAGCATTTTATAATGGTAACAGGTTTATTTCTCATCTTGCAGAAACATGCTGACTGGAGCATGACCGGACATAGGAGCTTCTTTTGGTGGTGTCACGTTATTTATTGTTGATAGGCAATGGGTTAGGTAATGATTATCGGTCAAATAAGTGACGACTGATCGGTCCACGAATGTTTGCTCGTGTGGTGGAGGCGAGCTGACAAGGGACGTTAGCGCATGCAGATTTGTGCGGATAAATAATAATCGTTGGGCTCCCAGGCCAAAATGAGGGTCCGCTTGATGCACTGAACGCCTGATATTATTGTCTTCCCTGCAACACTTTTGTTGGTAGAATTTTCCTGGAAAGTGGGGTTTGAGGTCAGCGAGTCAACAGCCTGGCAGGACTATTTGCGGGGCACTTGTACGGCCAGAGTTTACAGAAAATGGACCGTAAATGCCCACATTAGTTGCTGCTGCTCACTGAAAATTCGCTTGGGTCTAAATTTGGCTCGCCCAAATGGACAACACTGCCCTTCGCAATCCAGTTATATCTGCACACTTCATGGCGTGCCCCGCACAGGGCCAAGTCTCTTAGAAACACTTTGGTCAGCCTAAAAATCCCGGTTTTTGGACCACCAATGCAATTCGGACGATGTTTAGCGTGTTTCACTCATCCAATGTCTTAATTAAAGGGGGCCATCAGCTCAGTCTTAAACTCACAAATACCATCAGATCCGTAACGTATCATCCATGTCTATTCTGCTTTCCATGGCGGTTTCCTTAGCAAATTTTAGCCGTTGTTTATGTGAATCATTACGGCCGTGGATGAGAATATCAAGGTAGGGGGTTACCTCATGATGCTTGTCGTAAAGGAGTGCTGCCCCCGTCGGACCCTGTTGTCTGCTTTTGACATGCGCTTTCAACTTTCCGCGTCCATTCGTCCAACCCCCCAATTTATCCTATTCTCCGACCACCACACTATTGCTGCACACTTGCAATAACAAGATAAAGGTGCCCATGAGCTCCTTCACACGTTTATTTCACATCTTTTGACAGTTTCTGTCACTTGTTGCCGGTCTCATAGAGCGGAATTCATGTACACCGCCTAGCTATTACCAGTGGGGCCTTCCGTGAATCTTATCCTTTTAAGAATGGTCCATTCAGTCGAAGATGTTTTGAGCCGCATGGCCTAGCCATAGCCGCTTTAGTGGCAGCTTTCCAATATCTGTTTTGCTGAAACTTTTGCACCAGGGACATACGTCGGTCAGGGATTTATCCTATTTTATTTCATGCATAGATAATTGTGAAACCTTACAGAGTGAGGCGTCGCTGGTATAATTACTCCCTTTGGATACCAATATTACCGTCACTTTTGCCGCCACTTATAATGTGAAATTGTTTACTAAACTTTCAGCTGCTTGTTCTAAAAAATATGAGCGGCTTCAAGCACTTTCTGAACTTAGTCCCTGGCCCTCTATTCATGTACAAACATTTGGACCCGGAGCGTTTCTACCATGTTCGTTGCACATGATACCTATATCTTGTACACTAGGAGGTAATAGAATGGCCGTGACTTTGTTTGCCTTGTTGCGCAGCCACTAGAGCATGTAACCTGCTGTACGCGATGGGACGATGCGAAATAGGCGTGACATGTCCCATTGCATGAGATTTAACTTTGGCCTTTGAGCCCAGCAAGGTCGGCGAATCCTTTGACAAAATGGTGCCAAGTTCCGGCCCAATCATTTCATCTTCCATTTATTATCTTTGGGGATCCGTTAGCCCAAATTTTATGGTGATCATTGGCCGCACAATGCACTTATCTACAAAACATCTGCGACTGGAACAAAAACTTTCTACACCAAAATTTGCATTTTGTTTTAAGTATGCTCAAACCAGAAATCATTTCAGTCTGCTTCCATTGTGTTGCAATTTGTTTTAATTATTCTGACTTTCAGATTTTTGGCTTGCATTCAACTTTGAAGTTGCTCTACCAAGGCGTCAGGAGAAGGACTAGCCTTAGGCACAACTTAAATTTCTCTGAATCCGTAGTTCGATGGAGGAAATCTTTAACATAATATTTCACTATTTGATTGTATATATTCGGACCCTTAAAATCACATGCGACCGCAGTTTTATTAGGAAGTGTTTAAACGAACTCAGAGTCTACTGTGGGCGCGAAATTCGTATTTCAGTGGCTACCTGTGGCTTCGCGCGCTTTCTCTGTGAAAACGGCGGGAAATTTTTTAGGTAAGCTGGTTTCTTCACGTGTTTCCTTCTGTACTGAATTTAGGAATGATCTCAAAATGACAGATAATAATTACGCCCATTAAGTCGGTGCAAACTCGAAACATAGTAACTCCTCGCAACCTGTATATGAGAAATTCCATCGTTGAGGTAAGCGTCCTGCAAAAGCTAAGGAGTTTGTAACAGCTAGTAAGTTTTTTTCATGGTGGTTTATCTTTCATGGTGGTCAGCATACTTTATGTCTGGCGCAAGGCAAGGTTTGATCCTCATCTATATACTGAGACACCAGTAATTCAAGTGAATGAACTATCGGGTTTTCTGGACAGAACAAGCAGCTAAAACAATAATTCGGCCACTTTTCTCAAGTCTTTGCGCAAATTAAACGGACTGAGGTGGTTTGTTGCACGTAACACCCATCTGGGAAATATCAAAGATATATTGAGCTACGGGCAAGCCGTCAGACTGGGTACGGTAGTCGCGGTACCATCATCGTGAAGCCGTACTTGGGTTCGTGGACAGCCCAGTATATGAACCGAGTAAATGAGCTGTTTAAGGTCGACATTGCAGTTGATATTCTTGTATCCATCGAGAATCCATGGTATTTCATTGCAGGCACCTAAATAAGGCAATAAGATAGCCGCGTTTACATTGGGGACGGTCCGAGTGGTTAGAGCGCGAATTTACTGACCGAAAGATCTGTGGTCTGAATCCGACCTCTGCCTCTAGAATTCACCTGTCTAGGCTTGGGCAACCTGGCATTACCCCAGCCCTCGTGCAACCTTCGGGTGGCGTGGCAGTTAGGCACCGGAAAGGCGCTACAGCTGGACATTGGGGACTCAAAATAGGAAAATGCCTTAGGGATGCTTTCTAGACAGCACTGAATGTGAGTTAGAATGCCACATTATATAACAAATACTCGAACACTCACAATTTCGACCTATTTCAGCGAGAGAACTCTGCCCGATTTCAAGAACGATAATCGATAATTAGATGCAGATAATAGGCGCGCAGTCGATGCGAACTGTTGTGGGCATATGTGATTATGAGGGACGTGTACTGGCTAGAATGTGTACAAACAAGATGGCTCGGAGCTCGCAGAGATCGGAGAATTCTCGTGGTCTAGCGTGTTTGTACAATGAGTAGACGTCAGAATAGAGCTGTTATAGTCTAAAGAAAGGCATGGAGCTTTACGAAACCAGTTGCCACTGAGGCGTTATATCGCATGTATTTGGCAAGTCTTTGTTGGGTTTTTTGCCCTTATATCAGTGAATTTTTCGATTCATAGGATGATTGCTCGGGATATATGCCACAACAAGGTCAAGCTCAGACCGCAAACACAGGCGCCCGACAAAAGTCGCTTACATTTTGGGCACAAATGTTTTTGGGTAAACTGACTACAGTCAACCTGTCCTTTTTTGTGAAGCAAGGAGGGCCACAGACAATCGTCGCCGCTACTGACTGGCAGGGGTGTTTAAAGGGGTGTTTAAAGGGGTGTTGGAACGTGGCTTGAAGGAACAAGGCGGTTGACACTTGCGTGCTTTTGGGCCATAAGAGTAGTGATACTGGCACCAAGGGGGACGGGCACGAGATAACGATCTGGATCGTAAACGTGGTCGATGCCTGTTGATCTCTAACCGCTGCAGGCGATCGGTCAAAGCGTCAAACTTGGCTTGTAGGTGCGATATAGAAGCAAGAAGCGGGTCGGAATCTGTGGTGGGTGCAGGGCGGGAGACGGAGTTTACGGGGTAACTGGGGTGTGTTTCGTGTATCTTATCTGCCATTTGGGTTAGCTGCTCTAAGCTGTGGTCATCAACGAAAGCGCTGATGACGCGGCACATGGAGGGTGGGAGTTTGTCGAGCCATAGTTGGTCCATGATCTCCTCTGCTAGCTTACGGCCGCAGAGGAGACTGCGCATGTGGCGAAGCATTTGTGATGGCGATCTGTCCCCAAGTTCGACAGTGGTGAATAGATCTCGTAGCATTTTGTTTTCTGATTTCCCCGTCCTAATTATGACGGCCGCTCGAAGGGCGTCATACGGATTTTCCTTAGGAATATCTTCCAACAGATCTTCAACTTCTGTTGCTACATCACAAGGAAGATTCTGGACAACATAGGAAAACCGGGTGACTTGGGAAGTGATGCGTCGGGTAGCAAAAACGGCCTCCACCTGATGAAACCATACCCTGGGGTCGCGTGGATTGTAGTCTGGCAAACGTATGCTAATTGCATTCTCGACTAAATCCGCTGAATCAAAGTGTGTCTCCATAATTACCGGGCAAAAGAAAGAAAATCACGACGACTTGAAAGAAAAAGCTTTCAAAAAAATATCTAGAAATCCTGGGGCTCACCAAATTTGTAGTGATCTGGCTACCCAACAAGTTAGTTTACCAGGAGTGTGTGGCAAAGAAATAAAAATGATTACGCCAGGTTGGGTACACAAAAATAAAGAGATCAGACGGAACAGACTCACCAACAATTGTTCTCTTTAAAATAGTTCGTCGTTGGCCCAGGTCAGCGAATAAACACTAATCTAATTATGTTGGTCCAGAGGTCTTCGTCTGAACAGTTCCCACATATAATAGATTCCGAAGATGTCTGAAATTTTTTGGTGCCAGAGTTAGTACGTGAGACTCGCGAATGACCGCTGCAAGCGTGAGCGAAATCAGAAGAGAGAGTCGAAGCACGTGACCACGCCTGTATTCTGTGAAATTGTACAAGTGCGCGTTTTTGTAGTTTTTCGTATTCAAACAAAAACGATTATGCAATTGATGAAATACGTAGTGTTATAATGGAAGTAAAGGTACAAAACGCCACAGTACCCACAAGGTATCACTTTATACGTTTATTTTCAGCTCGTGAATGGCTTACCGTCAGGCATGATCATAAGGTTACATTCAGGATAAAGCGTAAGTTTTCAATCAATGGAAAGAAATCGGAACCGATTGAGAAGTTATCGTTTCAGAAGGACTTGATAAACAATCAGTGGTTTTCCATTCGTGCCACGTTTCGCTTTGAACAGAAAAGCTTCATCAGGCTCCAGTGGGTCACCAAATTTGTCAGGTTATAGGACAGACGGGGAACCAGTCTTTAAGTCCGCTTCAGATTACCACACTAGGTCAGTGTTGAGTGTCAGTTAACGGCTATTGTCGGTTGGTGTGGTTGTCAAAAGCTTGCTTTGGTGGATTGGGGGAGTTTCAAATCAGTTCTGATCGGGCTTGTTTCCTTGCTCTTCCACTTCAGGATACTTCAATTGACGACTCGCCTTGAGTGCCACTTGTAGATTTTTCTTGCTCTTTGTGGTTGCTTTGGTGGATTGGGGTACGGTTGGCAAAATCCAAGCGAGAATGGCTTGGGACCGCTATTATTCCATATAAACCAGGGACATCGGCGCTATTCGAAGGATTCTAAACACTACTTACAAGTATACACCCCTCTTTAGTTTCAAGTTTGCTGAGCGTAATAATGCGTATCGTTGCCGGATCCCGCTATTGAATCACCCATGTGCACACGGCTTCCTTGTTATCGCTAGTTGGACTAATTGAGCAAGTAGAGAGTTTACCTTTACAGCAGTAAGACTCCAGCTCAGCGCGGACGACGACCGGGACTTGCGGACTAAGGGATTTGTTGGGCACTTGGTGAGTTAGCCTCCAAAACTTTCTAACTGTTTATTTTAAATGATATCGCGGAAATGTGTACGAATCGTAATTGATTGTACATTTTTATCAGAAACCCTATCGAGTAGAAAATTGAGAACTGCAGTGTTTGTTCCTGTGCAACCAATAAGTAGAAACGTGTTTTTTAAAGGTCTTTGCATATTTTCAGGCATGGGGTTGGCAGGTGGACAACATATGGATACTTGAGACCGCCGTTGGTCGTTTGATTGGTCTATTATGTATGGCTGGGGTGTTAGGGACGGCTACGAGCATGTGCACGGGCCCGGGAGTTACTATAGGTGGCCTTGGCAGGTAACAACGAGTAAAGTTATGAGCATGACGGGCAGTTGTTGGCCATTAAACTGGGCTAGTGAGCATAATATAGGCCTCATTATATATATTCAGCGCCGCCCATCGACACGTACCCAGCAATTACAATAAATAGACGGGCAACTAGCAATGGCTACCATCATCATGTTGACCGCTTCATGGCGGCCACCATCTATAGAGCATCGTATTCCTAATGGGAATGATACCATTGTGTTGGTAATTTATCTGCAGCTATCTCGTGACGCTGTATTATCTACAGGCTAGTTATTCATATCTGGGAAAGGGGATCATCCGCAGAGATAGCCCTTGCATCGCCACTACACAGTTCAACCTGCTGTTTAACGATACGGTACCTAATGGAAACTGAGCTGCATAGAAAAATGTGTTGTGAAAAAAGTTCGCTGAACAAAATCATCCCATTTGTTAAATATGGGGTGAATTTGCATTGGATAGTTTGTAGATGTTATTTTATTTTTTTATAGACACCGAAAAACGCCAAAATATGCTAAAGCGCGATTTCATGTTTTATCTCGCGTAAACCGTTTACAAAATGCGAATCGCTGATGGTCCTTGACCTTGAAATTTCGCTCACTTAAACAAAATGCTTCAAGCAGCATATCACCGGAAGGTACAAGTGGATTAGAATAACTCACCGTTGAAGTTAAAAGTTTAAAAACCCTATAGGTTGGGCGAAATAATTTGGTTGTGCTCCTAGTGAGCGACCATAAGTGGCTTTATATATGTTTCTTGAGACGCTGTAGGCTGTATCCTCTTCATCCTTCACGGCGTTTGAGAATGTGTTAAATGAATGCATGAAGGATAGGTATATGGTATTTGTGCTTTCGTTTAGCGATCAAAGCGTTACGAATAAGTATACTGCAAATGCAGCTGGTGGCCCGCAAGACGAACGAAACTTCGAGGTATCGGGAAAAGCATGTAAGCTGAGAGCATTTGTGAATAGCAAACGGCACACGTAGTTCTGGATGTCCAGCGTTTTTACCTACGCTGGCAGAGGAACCATCTCCTGGTCACCCCTTACAGTGAACTCAAGTATGAGCTTCCTTAATTTTTGTGCGATTGTGCTAACCAAAGAAGACTTGGGTACGACCGGGGCACTGCAAAGTGTGGATCGCCGTCGTGTAAACTGCGGCGGTCTTTGCCTCCCTGTAGCAACATCCTGCTCCACACTTCTTATCTAAGCCCTTAAGGTACAAACTGGAAACATCATAAACGAGAGATTCAGCTGGGTTCTAGTGAGTCTCTTGAAAAAACGAATTAATTTGCAAATGATTGTATTCCGTTAATTTCGTGCAATTTGGTTTCAAGCAGAACACAAGGTTGACCGAAACTCGGAAAGTGCGCCTCTTTGAAGAGCCCAAAGAAGGACAAAGCCGGAAGTGGGCTGTCGATGAATTTTTCTGCAACATTGTGAGTTGCGCATTACGAATAAACTATTAGGGAGTTTCGCAAGTAGGATGCTCGCTCGTGCTCTCTTGATACTTTATGTACGGGTTTCCGATACGGTTTCAGAGCGCGGATGCAAGATCAGAGTGCATCTCTGAGCTCAAATAATTTGCACCAACGACACCAACGACTGCGCATTTCGGGGGATTTTGCAGCAGCTGCTGCGCCGGGTGCGCGATTACAGGTCTCTGAGTTTGCAGTCAATGACTGCTTCGCCGGGTTGGATGTCCATAAACAGTAAGATTTGAGCTGTCTGCCTGTCTGCCTTCATAAAAGGTGTTCAGCATATCCGTTTTAGTGTCTTCTTAAAGCCCACTTATGCACTGACTACTTGTTGTCCCGATTAGGCGGTAGATGTCTATCAAGAACTGATCACTACTTCCAAAGGGATAATCACCGCTTAGTTCACTACTGAACGCTCGTGCTTAGTCGCAATAGCTGGAGAATTCAAAGTAGAAGCAAGCCACCTGAGCTCAGCGAAGACACCCTTCAACCGAAAAACCAAATTCTTCCAGCCCATTTGGTTACCTCTCGGTAGCAATGAGTTTAGGCCGCATGAACGCCATCACGCGTAAGTATCTTACCACTGTACGCATGCAAACTCCGTTGCTAGGCCACAACACGCTGGTGTACAATCCATAACGACATTTGAAGTCTGCTTACTGGAGCTGCCCACGAAGACTTCATTACCGGAGCTACGTTTGCGTTGTAACAGTTGATGACGTAAACAATAGTGGAAGATAGTTTTACTGACATGACAGAGATTCTACGGACGTAACAAATTTTTGCCAGCGGACTTGTTTGTTTAAGGTTGAAGTTCGCTGCCAGCCTTGAATCTGGGAGTATTGTGAAATTATACTGTAATTTATTTAGATAAAATTCGATACAGCTTACCATCATCGTCCATGAGGCGTTAAAATACGTACGATACCTGTATTGAGTCTTCAGTTTTCTCATTCTGTTAGTCGCGCATAACTAATAGGTCACCTAAATCTAGTAAGAAATTACTGGTTTGACTTCTATCCTTCAACATTTCTGAGATGATTATACCCTAGGAAACGATCGCTTAATCAATGCATGGTCTGCGGTGTCATACTAGCGTGCGTACCGATCCACTTTTCCAGGGCGGTAGAAAACAGACAACTTGAGGCGCCTAAAATCCAAGACTAACCAGCTCCGGCGCAATTTCTCACCGCCAATGACTGCCAGTGATGCATCCAGTTTACCATATTTTGCCAAAAATATTTACTTTATTGGACGTAGCACATCATCCATAAGTTTTCTGGAAATCTTGCGACAGCCCATTACCGGTTTTGTCCCCCTTGGGGCTCACCATGTGGGCGCAGTCTCCGAGTTTATACATTTGCTGAAAACATAGCTCATGATCATAATTATGTTGTTGGCATTTTTTGTTATTGATCGTGATGTATTGCGGTGGCGTTGCATATGGGAAAGCCAAGTTTCTTGCATAACCGCAGCGTGTGTGCATGACTGTAAGATGAATTTATCATAGGGGAATGCTTTAACAATAACGGTCTTCAGATTGGCTTT